TGGGTAGAGGATTGGGGCTTTAATCCCTATTAGTGGCTCTGCTCTAGAGAGAGAGAGAGAGAGGTAGAGCGAAAAAGAAGCCTTCTTCCAATATTTTATTTTCTTTTATTATTTGTATAGCCGCCTACTTGCTCATGGGGACTCCAGGCGGGATTAAATTCCGCTAGATGGAAAGAATTAACAGCCCAGAATATTGCGTTTCAGTATTATGTTTGAATATCAATATTGCCAGTTGAAATGTTCATTTTTTAAAACACGGGGAGGGCTTTTGCCTTTTTAAAGGTCCATTTGAACTCAGGCCTCCTTTCAAAGGAAACCCGAGGGAGACTGGGTTCAAAGTAGGGAGCATCTATTGGGGAGAGACCCGCGCCTCCCCTCCCCGCTTACACTGAATTCTCAAAAGACCAACCTGAAGCGGAGGCAGCGGCGGGATCGCCCCTTTGGGCTCCCCATTAATCACGCTGACACTTCCATTCACCCAGGAGCCCCGGGTGGGGGCGTTAATCGCGGGCCCTTTTGAGCTGTGAAGGGTGGAACATTTTGCCATATGCTGAAGCTCCCTCTCTCGGAGCGAGGGAATTAGCCGACCCGTAAGGCCTCGGGATGGATAGCTCTTTCCACCCGCTCAGCAAAGAGAGGCGGACCAGGCTCTCTGGGGCACCCCAGAAGGCGGTGCTTGCCCCCCAAAAGAAACCCGCCCTTGCAAAAATGGATAAAGGGGGGGGGGAAACTATCATTCTGCCTCAGCCCTTGTCTGCCCCGTAGCTATTTTTTTTTTATTTTATTTATTTTTGCAAGGCAATGCATTGGATCGCTGGTCTGTTAAGTCACCCCACGTTGCACGCACCTAACCCTGGGACTTGATGCCGAATAAAGGGATGTCTCTGCGCCTGCTTTAAGCAGGCAAATCCCCCAAATTAAAAGCAGGAAGCAGCGGTTCGTTCCCGAGAAGAGGGCCGGGAAGGGTCTGGACGCAGGGGTTCTCAACCTTGGCAACTTTAAGACTTGTGGACTTCAACTCCCAGAATTCCTCAGCCAGCTTCGCTGGCTGAGGAATTCTGGGAATTGAAGTCCACAAGTCTTAAAGTTGCCAAGGTTGAGAACCCCTGGGCCTCTGGAGCTTCGGCGCTGACCTGGTGCATCTCCTCAGCAGGGAGCCCCGGCAGAGCTTGGCTTGGGGAATCGGTGCTTCTTAACAGCCTTCGGCCTCGTCCTAAGAACCAGCCCTAGAAATCAGGCCCAAAGCCCCGGGGCTGCCCGTCCCCCTTTTCCCACTTAATAGACTGTTTGACGATTCCGTAATCCGAGTCCAGTTTGGCTCTCAGGGCTGTCTCTCGAGGGCCAGATCCGCGGGGTTCAAAGGAGCTTGAGCCTCGGCGATAGTCCCTTACAAAGCTACCAAGACTCATCTTGGGGGGCTCTCGGAGGGCACAAAGGGGCAGGGGGGCGCGATTTGGACTGCTATAGAGTTGACCTTCCCCCACCCCCCAACCTTGGATCGTCCCGTGGCTTGTTCGACTATCCTGGGCATTTCCAGGGTTTCTTCTTGTTCCAGGGGCGTGGGGGGGGGGGGGGTTATTCTTAAAAGTCTCAGGAAATGGCGGCCCAAAAAGCGGAACGGGCCAAGACGCACCAGTTCGCTCCCGAACTTTCGACTGGGGGAAAGTCCTAGAAAAGTGCAGGATTTCTCGGCTCGGCGCAGAGTCGAGCTCCCCCGGAGCCCCTCCACAGACAGAAAGCAAAGGGAACGGGGTCGGCAATGGGTGTGTGTGTGTGGGGGGGGTTGTTTCTCCTGAGGAGAAAAGAGGGTATTTGAACTGGTGCTCCGGGTCAAGCCTGGAGACTTTCGGGCCGGGGACCCACCAGCATCGACAAGACCCTCTTTCGGGCTCAGGCGTCACTGCCGGTGCTCAGGTTTGGTCAAAAAAGTCAAAATGGCGGTCACTACGGTGTAGCGAAGCTGCCCTGCACGTGAAAAGAAATAGAGCTTCGATCGCACCGTCGTGGCCGCCATCTTGACTTTTCTGACCATACCTGACCGGCCCTCCGCCCTCACAAAGCCCTTCTGAAAAAATTAGTCCTAATTTCGTTTCCAAAAGGCCGGAACCAGCTTCCTCTTCCCTGACCTCAGGACCCTGAGGACACCTTTTGGCAGCAACGTTCGCCCCTGAGGCAAATTCACAAGGGTCTAGGCACTGTCAGACAAACGTACGATTCTCACGGGATAGGATGAGGTAGAAATTCCAACTGACACTAGATTTCATGCTCATCGGAATGAAAGTGCCCAAGAACGTGGTTCCGGACACGTTTGTTAAAAACAAAATAAGCCTCAGACTGAGGGGTTCAGACGTCGCATTGATCCTCGGGGTGGCTTCTTATGTTTGTAGCTTAGCCTGTTAATGTGAACCCAGCCACCGTGGTTTCGTAACCGGAGGGCTTAGAGTACCGTGCGAACCAAGGTTAAACAAACTCCGGGGGAAGCGCAAGGTGCAAATCCGTCCACGGAGCGCCTTTGGAGAGTAACTTGGATTATAACCGGTTTGTCTTATTTTAACAGGGACTGGCCATCCGAGCGCCTAGGTTTAGGAGACCTTCGTTGGCAGAGAGGGTTTCAAATGGTTCGGAGCTGAAGTTTTGAGTTTTCACCCGAGGAGCCGAGGTTGTGGGCAAGTCGAAAAAGGGAAACCCCCTGGAAGGCTGCCACGCGGGAAGAGGTGGAGGAGAAACGCGCTGGGCTTGTCCCTCGGCTGCGCGTTTGGGATCTGTAAGCCTCGCCCGCTCTCTTCCCGGGGGAGCCTCCGAGGGCGGGCTGGCTCGGATCCCCTCCCCACCACCGCAGCCATCGCCTCATTTTTATCTTAGGAGTGGACACCCCGAGATCTCTCGCCCTTTATCCGTGCTGCTTCGCCACGCCAGGGTAAGTGAAACCCGGGCGCTCGGGATCGCTCGCAGACGAGCGATACCCGAGCAGGACCGAGCCCGGTAACGGGGCGAGCGAGCGAGCTCGGCAGGACAGGCGAGTGGCAGTCGCTCTGCCTCTGAGGAATATTTGGAGTGGGCGGGGCCTTCATATTTGCTTAGTAAGCATTTCTTTCCCTGCCCAGCCCCCTTTTAGCTGGCTGGCGTCTCATCGCCAATGGACGGGACTCTCGAGTGTTTCGGCTCGGCCCTTCCCCTAGACCAGGGATCTCCAGCTTTGGCAACTTGAAGACTTGTGGACTTCAACTCCCAGAATTCCCCAGCCAGCAAAGCTGGCTGGGGAATTCTGGGAATTGAAGTCCACAAGTCTTCAAGTTGCCAACGGTTGGAGACCTCCGGTCCAGACGACTCTGGATGACTTCTGCCTTTGAATCCGAGGCACAAAGGGAGAGAAATCGCTTCCTCCCGCCCCTCGATGAAGGCTGATCGCGGCGAATCCCAGCAGCACACCGCCGAAGGGGACTTGACACAGGCGGCGGCATCAACCCTTCGCCTCCTCGGGGACGCGGCGACTCCGCGCCGCCTGCTTAAAACGCGGCAGTCTAGCCAGGGAAAAGACGAAATGGAAAGTGAGAACCGAAGCAAGTGCCGTCCAAACTTTTTTTTTCGTTTTTCTGTATAGCGCGCGGCCCCGTCGCCGTTTGCAGTGCGTGGACGGGACACACAGAAACTTTCCTTAGTTTCACTCTCGCCTCCTCGGCCGCGAGGAAGCAGGGAAACCTCGGCGGCTCTTAAAAGCGCCCAAGGCAAACCGCGCATGCGCCCCGCTGTCCGGGAGGCAGGGGAAGCGTTGGCTCAAGCCCCGCCCTCCTGCCCTGCGCTTTACTGAATGGGAGGCGGAAATGCGCTCACGTTTTGTTTTTTTTTTAATCAATGGGCCCAGGATCGGAGGGGAGGAGCCAAGGGTTCCGGCGGCACCGCCCCTTCGCTAAGGCTGTCACCCCGCCTCCTCCTCCTCTTCCTCCTCCTCCTCTGCCCTCAGATACACACACTGGCCATGCATCAAATAGGCAAGCTTAATGCCTTTGCACACAGAGAGCGCGCAGCGCCCGCTTCTCGGAGACAGCCGGCGGAGGTAGCTGGGGAACAGGCATCCAGAGCGCGCTAAGCAAGGTGTAGGACCGCCGGGTTCCGCGCCTGCCCTTCCCGCGCTCGGTTCCTACGCCTTTGAAGTTCTACTTTCTCGCCTTCCGCCCTTCCGCCACCTTCGGCCCGAGCAACACCGCGCCCGAAAAAGGGGGAGGCGGCGCGCCGGAGGATCCGCGAGAAAGTTGCGGCAACTTTGTGGCCAAAGCTGAGACAGGGAGGCGGGAGAGAGGAGCCGCCGTCGTCGCCGCCGCCTGCGAAGCCGAGCGGCTGTTCGTTCTTCAAGCGGAGACGATCGCAGCAAGTGGCCGGTGACTGGGAGGATCAACGCGGGGAGTCCGGAAGGAAAGCGGGGGGAGCAGGCGGAGGGGAGGAGCGCCCGGCTTCCTCGGCCACTCTTCCAGGGAAACGGCCATGGCAGGCGGGGAAGGGCGCCTCGCCGACTCCAGGTAGCTGGAAAATTGGCGCGGAGCGAGACGGACAGGTGCCGGCCGGCCGGCCTGCTGTCCTGGGACGGATCAACTCCGTGGGCGTCTCTTGAAAAGCTGGATTGACTTTGCCGCGGTTGGCGCCGCATCTTCCCCGACGTCGCCCGCTCCCTTCGCCTGGCCGACGTCGGCTCCCTCGCTTCTCGCAACTCGCGGCGGCTTCTCGTCTGGGCGGCTGTCAAATGCCCCTCTCCTGCCCCGGAGCAGGCAGGGTCCGGCGGACTTGAGTTGGAAAGGGACTTTCTGCTGCCTTCGCCTTTCCCTGAGAGCCCCGACGGCAGAAGAGCGGCGGGCCAAGACGACGGTGCGAGGATCCCCCCCTGGGCGAGGAGGAGGGTGGGGAAGGCAACCTCGGATCCGGGCGCAGCCACCATTGATTTCCTGCGGGTGGCTCGCAGCGACGGGCTGGGCGCTGCCGCCGCCGCCGCCGCCGCTGCCGCCGCGGGCATGGCCAAGCCGGCGGACCACGTCAAGCGGCCCATGAACGCCTTCATGGTCTGGTCGCGGGCGCAGCGGCGTAAGATGGCCCAGGAGAACCCCAAGATGCACAATTCGGAGATCTCCAAGCGGCTGGGCGCCGAGTGGAAGCTGCTGAGCGAGGCCGAGAAGCGGCCCTTCATCGACGAGGCCAAGCGCCTGCGGGCCATGCACATGAAGGAGCACCCGGACTACAAGTACCGGCCGCGGCGGAAGCCCAAGACGCTCCTCAAGAAGGACAAGTTCGCCTTCCCGGTGGTCTCCTACGGCCTGCCCGACGCCGCCGACCCCCACGCCCACCCCCTCGGACCGCATCACCCGGCGCTCAAGGCCGGCGTCCTCCACGGCCACGAAGCCTTCCTGGCCAACCCGGAGAAAGCCGCCGCCGCCGCGGCCGCCGCCGCCCGCGTCTTCTTCCCTCCCTCCGCCGCCGCCGCCGCCGCTGCAGCCGCCGCCGCGGGCAGCCCTTACTCCCTGCTCGACCTGGGCTCGAAAATGGCAGCGGAGATCTCGTCCTCGGCGGGCTCGGGAGCCGGCGGAGGCGGAGGCTCGGGGGCCGGATTGCCCTACGCCGCCTCCTCGCTGGCTTACCCGACGGCTGGCGGCGCTTTCCACGCCGCCGCGGCTGCAGCCGCCGCCGCCGCGGCCAGCGGGGGCCACAGTCACTCGCACCCGTCGCCCGGGAACCCCGGCTACATGATCCCCTGCAACTGCAGCGCCTGGCCCAGCCCGGGACTCCAGCCGCCCCTGGCCTACATCCTGCTGCCCGGCATGGGTAAACCTCAGCTGGACCCTTACCCGGCGGCGGCGGCCTACGCCGCGGCCCTATGACAACCAGCGCTCTGCTTAGGAGCCCGGTGGCGAGGAGAACCGGGCGGCCTCGCGGGGCCCGGACTGTAGCCGCAAGCAGAGCGCCGGCCGTCAGCCCCGCTCCGGCTCCCCGGGAGACGCCCGCAGCCTGGCGCTTGGATCGCCCTCTTTGCAGCTCCGGAGCCGAGAACCCACGCCTCCCGCAAACGCCGGTGGACCTCCCGGCTTGCTTGCTCCCGGCGTGGCTGGAGGGGCCCCGAGAAGTCACTGCTTTCCCGAAGCTTCCTCTCCGGGAAGATCCCACCTGCCACTGTAGGAGCCGATTCCGACGACCTTGGGAGTTGCTTTTGCTTTCCGTTCCAGTGCCCCTAACTCGCTTTCTCTCCCCTCTCTCTCTCCTTCGCCCTCAAGCCCACGTCCTATCCCGACCCGCGGTTCCGAGCAAATGCTTGCCAAGTCCCCCGCACTCCAGCCCCGACGTAAGCACGAGGTTGTCTTTTAAATCAGTGTCTCTCTGTCTGGATGCTACCGAGCAAAAAGAGAGTTTGCACCCACCCACCCACCCACCCACCCACCCACTCACTCCCGCATAAAAAAAGCAGAGAGCCCTGGTACCATACAGTCAGAGAAGAAGTAAGGAGGCGCTTAATCCTCCTTACTTACTAAGCCGGCTGCTCGCTCTTCCTCCTGCCGTTCACCACATCTCGCCTGAAGTTTGTAAAATGTGTACCTGTCCGTGCGAACTTTAGGTCTCTAAGGCTATGTTATTTGAAAACTGGGGGTTTGGGTTTTGGCTGTGATCCTACGCCCACGTTGGCTCGATGCTAGGCCTGGCTACCGTCGAAGGGACTTGCCTCCAGTCAGACGAACGAAGAGAGGGGGCAAGAAAACCCGCAAGGCTCACCCTCGCGTCTCAAGTCGGATTCAGACGGCTGCGAGTCAGTCAAGTTGCGAGTCACTTTTCCTGGTTGCCGTTTGAGTTCGAGGGTTTTCTTTTTTTAAAACCGGACTTCCTATTTGAGGAAATAACATATTTATTATGATGTCAATGTATCTCAGTCCTGCGTGTTCAAGAGAAGACACTTACCCCTTTTTTCCTCCCTAACTCCGTCTCCTTTCATGTGATTGGCAGTCACTCCGCTTGGGTGGGTGGGAGAAATCTTTATTTTTTTAATAAAAGCATAAATATTCAGTTGCAAATAATGATTTTTGGAGGAGGAATCAAGCTCATTTTAAACCATTCCCTCCGACACAGCAATTTTCTTTTACTTTTGTAATGTGTATATTTGGATTAATGTTTGTGAATCAACTTGCTTAAACAGTACTTAGGGATTCTTTCTTTCGTTCTTCTTTCTTCTTCTGTAATATAAAGTTTTTTGGGAAAAAAAAGTTTTTTTAAGTATTGGTTTTAACATTTGACGTGTATAAATGAGTTTGCTGGTGTGCTCTAATTTAAAATTAGACGTCTAAACTATATCTGTACAATTAGACTCCGACTTACCAACTCTGTTCATTTTGGAACAAAGAGTTTAAATAAAAGCCTGAAGCAGGGGAAAGAGAAAATCCTCTATTTCTTGTTGAGTTACTTACAAGATGCTAATCTCAATTGCCCTTACCTGCCTAGGCCAGGGGAAATGTAAGGTATACTCCAAAGGCGGGCTTTGTTTCACTTTTGAATAGATTGACTAGGAAGTCTAAGTCAGACCATTGTTGCCTGATTTATCCCATTTGAAATCGTGAATGGGAAAGAAGATTTTTTTAAAAAAATGCAATACTTCTGTTATCATTTGAAAAGGGAAAGGAGATTAAAAAGAAACAGCATCCATGAACTGACTGGATACACAGCCGATCTGGAGCTGCTTTCTACAGAATCTCTGCAGAGCAAAAAAAAACTTGTTTGACCGCTCTTTAGCCCTCGCTTATCAAAGAGCTTCGCAAACCCACATGATTTATTCAGGTGTCTTTGGGTGTTTCTCATTTTCTCAACGGTCTTATTATCCAAGGGTCGTCTTCTGGACTTAAGGGTCCCCCACTCTTCTGCAACTTCTTCAGGGTTAGGCCCTCCCCGAAAGATTTTTTAAAAATGACCAAAAACCCCGAACAAAAGTGGAGCCCCGAAGGACAAATGTGGGGGTCCTTGAAACCAGAACAGGGGTGACAGCCGAGTGAAATATGCCTAGGATTCTGTCACTGAATCCTACGTCTCTAATTTGCTCTTGGTGATTTCTTTGTCAGGCTGACCTCTTCCCTCCCCCCCCCACCACCCCGGGGAAGAGATGTGGCGCTTCAGGCTGCTACCAGTATCCTTTGCACGCTTGCTGGGAAGTTAGTCCCAGGGCCCGGGAAGTTTCCCCCGAGAGGCAGGGGCCTACCTGGGGAGAGAGCTTCCTTATGAGTTTCAAAGCCTTCCCTGGGGCCCGAACTTGTTCTTCATTCATGTGGGAAACAGAGTGGCAGAGCCCTGGACTCACGAGGTTTGATTCCGGCAAACGAAGGGGGATCCACAGAAACTGGCCACAGGCCACCAAGGCCTCAAGGGCAAAGCCCCGGCCATTGGGCAGACTTTGATTTGGGCAACCGGTCTGGTCTTCTCACTAGCGCCTGTTGGAAAAGCATTTCTGCTTCTTCCCTTCATCGTCTTCCCTGGGCGTGCAAAACAGACTTTCTGTCCCCTAGGTGCACGTTAATTGCGGGGGGGGGGGGAAGAGGGGGGGGGGGATAGTTTTGGAAGAATGTTCCCTGGCTTGGCTCGGCTAATTAAAACGATCCTCTTTCTGTCGTCTCCTTGGTTTTTTTTTTTTTTTTTTTTTTTTTTTTTTTTTTTTACTTTTACTTTTTTTTTTTTTTGCAGGTTCTAAGTGAATTCAAATGGTTTGGAGAGATTATGCAAAACTAATTCGGACAGTCCAGGGGTAATTAGCCCTGACACGGTTAATTAAATCCTTTCAGGCTCTCCACCTCCACCCTCTCTCTGGGCCAGCCCCCATTTCTCTACCCAGGGAACTTCCCGCTGATCTCTAGAAATCCCGTTTTCACAAGCGTCTCTTGAGCTTGCTCTCCACATCTCTCCACCGCACTAACGCAAGCAGCCTGTTGCTTTTGGATCCGGCTCCCCTCCCGCTCGGGAATTAACTCTTCCAGTGGCGAACGAGCGCCTTTCTCGCCTGCCCCGCAAACGCCTCTCCAGCGCCTGCTAAAGTGGCGTTTCTAATCCCCCTCCGGGGCTGGAGAATCAAACCTAGGCAGAGAACAGGAATGGATTCAGATAATCAACTTGGCCTAGGAGAGTCTGCGCGGGTTAGGAAGTAAATCCACCGCATGCATTAGGGCTTCAAATAATAGACAACTGCAACCCCCAGTCCCGCTTTGTGATCTTGCGCGTTGCAGAGAAGGTAAAGTTTCTCTAGCAGGAAAGCTTACTCCGGATTACAGCCAAATGGAATTTTTTTATTATTATTTTCTGTCCAACGGGAGTGGTTGCATGGCAGCTCCGTGAAAATGTTATTAGAAAAGTTAATTTCTAATTTCGGCACATGTTTATTCGGAACGAAGTCCCCAGAGAATGCAGTCTGACTTATTCCCCCTTTAATTAAATTTAGAGCTGCAAAAGGTGAATCGGTTTTTGACAGCCGGTTGTGACTTTCCCTTTTTGCATTCCGTTCAGGAAAGTGACCGAAATTCTCGACCGGTTACACGATTATAATTTCCTATAGTTAAAAACCCCAAATAAAGGATTTTTTTTTCTTTCTTTCATTTCCTTGTATTATTAAAAAGTATATATTATTGTCTGAGCTAGGCCACAATTGCTTCTTCTTTTTTTAAAACAAACCCACGTGTTCCGAAGCAGAACGCGGGGAGACCCTAAAATCCACTTCAAATAGTGTGTTTCTCATAGACCAAACCACACGTTGTCGTTTGGTTTGGAATTAAATCTCAGTAGCCAAAAGACAACTTGCTTCCTAAGCAGGGTTTTTCCTCTCCCCTTTCTACCCTTTCCCGGGAATGCCAATGGGATTTCTCCGGCGAAGGGCCCCGTTTCGAATGAGAACGTTCTGAAAAGAACGTCGAGGAGGCGAGAATTCCACAAGAGAACGCCGCGCAGAGCGCAACATTCCACGAGAGAACGCCGCAAGTGGCTGAGATTCCGGAAGGGCCGCTTTCAGGAGAGAGAGAGAGAAAAAAGAGAGAGCGGCTCCGAATGGCTTGGAAACATCTCACTGCTTTTCAAGTAATAATAATAATAATAATAATAATAATAATAATAATAATAATAATAATAATAATAATAATA